ACTGTTAAAACAAGAGATGACCTTTTGGGTCATCACATTCTCCACCTCCAATAAAACTGTTCGTCCTCGAACGATAATAGAAAAGTACCTGAGTCGATGAAACGATGGGGATATCGGCTCCGCATATCGGACTCGGACTCCCAAGTAGCTGCCTCGACAGGTTGACCTCTCCACTGAACACAAACCGAAGGGTAACTCTTTGATTTCAACTGACGAACCTACCGGTCTAGAATAGCTAACGGCTCCTCCTCATAGGTCAAGTCCTTGTCCAGTTGGACAGTGCTGAAGTCTTACACGTGGGATGGATCGCCGTGATACTTCTGAAGCATGGACGCATGAAACACTGGATGCACAGTTGATAAACCCGATGGCAACGCAAGTTTGTAAGCCACCTCTCCCACTTTATCAAGAATCTCAAAAGGCCCGATGAACCTAGGGCTTAGTTTGCCCTTCCTCTCAAATCTCATCACGCCCTTCATGGGTGACACCCGAAGCAACACTCACTCTCTGAACATGAATGCCACATCACGAATCTTACGATCGTCATAACTCTTCTACCTAGACTGAGCTGTACGAAGCCTATCCTGAATGATCTTAACCTTCTCCAAGGCATCCTGAACTAAATCTATACCCAATAAACGAGCCTCTCCCGTCTCAAACCACCCAACCGGCGACCGACACTGCCTACCATATAATGCTTCATAGGGAGCTATCTGGATGCTCAACTGGTAACTGTTATTGTAGGCAGACTCTGCTAATGGCAAGAACTGATCCCAAAAACCTCCAAAGTTAATAACACATGCTCGAAGCATATCCTCCAAAATCTAAATAGTCAGCTCGGACTGTCCGTCCGTCTGAGGATGAAACGATGTGCTCAACTCGACCCCCGTACCCAACTCACGATGCACTACCCTCCAGAAATGCGAGGCAAACTTCGTACCTCGATCAGAAATGATAGATACGGGCACACTATGAAGACAAACGATCTCACGGATATAAATCTCTGTGAACCGCTCAAAAGAATAGGAAACCACCACAGGAATGAAATGCGCTGACTTAGTCAGCCTATCCTCAATAACCCATATTGCGTCGAACTTCCTTTGCGTCTGTGGGAGTCCAACAACGAAGTCCATAGTGATACGCTCCTACTTCCACTCAGGAATCTCAATCTTCTGAAGCAAACCACCAGGTCTTTGATGCTCGAACTTTACCTGCTAACAATTCAAACACCAAGCTACATATGCAACAATATCCTTCTTCATACTCCTCCACCAATAATGTTGTCGAAAGTCCTGATACATCTTAGTGGTGCCCGGATGAATGGAATATCGGGAACTATGGGACTCCTCTAGAATCAACTCACGAAGTTCATCCATATTAGGAACACAAACACGACCCTGCATCCTCAAAACTCCATCATCTCTGACTGTAACCTGCTTGGCACCATCGTGCCGCACTGTGTCCTTAAGGACAAGCAAATGAGGGCCATCATACTGCCAATCCCTAATACGCTCAAATAATGAAGAACGAGCGGTTGTGCAAGCTAGAACACGGCTAGGCTCAAAAATATTCAACCTCACAAACTGATTGGCTAAAGCCTGAACATCCAAAGTAAGTGGTCTCTCACCGACTAGAATATGCGCAAGGCTACCATACTAGCTGACTTCTTACTCAAAGCATCGGCCACTACATTGGCCTTCTTAGGATGATACAAGATGGTGATATCATAGTCTTCCAATAGCTCCAACCACCTCCTCTACCTCAAATTTAGCTCATTCTACTTGAACAAGAATTACAAACTCTTGTGATTCGTGAACACCTCGCATGACACACCATATAAATAATGCCTTCAAATCTTCAACGCGTGAACAATGGCTGCTAGCTCCAAATCATAAACTGGATAATTCTTCTTGTGGATCTTCAACTGTCGTGAAACATATGCAATAACCTTTCTATTATGCATCAACACCGCACCAAGTTCAATACGAGATGCGTCACAATAAAATGTATAAGGCCCTAAACCGGTGGGCAAAACCAACACTGGCGCCGTAGTCAAAGCTATCTTGAGCTTCTTAAAGTTCACCTTACACTCGTTTGACCACCTGAACTGGGCACCCTTCTGGGTCAACCTGGTCATCGGGACTGCTATAGATGAAAACCCTTCCACAAACCGACGGTAATAACCCACCAAGCCCAAGAAACTCTGGATCTCTATAGCTGATGTGGGTCTAGGCCAGTCCTTGACTGCCTCGATCTTCTTAAGATCCACTTGAATACCCTCTACTAATATGACATGACCCTGGAATGCTACCGAACTCAACAAAAACTCGTATTTTGAAAACTTAGCTTACAACTGACTATCTCTTAGAGTTTGAAGAACAACTCGAAGATGCTGCTCATGCTCCTCTCAGCTGCGGGAGTAGATCAAAATATCATCAATGAAGACAATCACGAAGGAATCCAAATAAGGCTTGGACACTTGGTTCATCAAATCCATGAATGATGTTGGGGCATTTGTCAACCCAAATGACATCACTAAGAACTCATAATGCTCGTACAGAGTGCGGAAAGCTGTCTTAGGGACATCAGATGCCCTAATCCTCAACTGATGGTAGCCAGACCTCAAATCAATCTTTGAAAATACCTTGGCATCCTGAAGCTGATCAAACAAATCATTAATCATCGGCAATGGATATTTGTTCTTGATGGTAACTTTGTTCAACTGCCGATAATATATGCACATCCTCATCAATCCATCCTTCTTCTTAACAAACAACATCGGCTCACCCCAAGGTGAGAAACTAGGTCTAATAAAGCCTTTATCAAGCAAGTCTTGCAACTGTTCTTTAAATTCCTTTAACTCCAGCGGGGCCATACGATATGGCAGAAAAGAAATGGGCTGAGTGACCAGAGCCAAATCAATGCAAAAGTCAATATCCCTATCGGGTGCAGGAAATACCTATGGAAACTGATGAACAATGGGCACAGAATTCATGGAAGGGACCTCAACACTAGAATCACGAACATACGCCAAAAGGCCAAACATCCCTTTTCAAATATACGATGAACCTTCATATAAGAAATAACCCTACTAACATAATGACCAGGAGTCCCTCTTCACTCCAATCGAGGCAACCCCGACAATGCTATGGTCACAGTCTTGGCATGACAATCCAATATAGCATGATAAGGGGATAGCCAATCCATCCCCAAAATGACATCAAAATCCACCATATCGAGAAGTAGGAGATCTACGTTAGTCTCAATACCCCCAATAACAACCACACGCAAATGATAGACACGATCTACCACAATAGAATCACCCACCGGTGTAGACACATATATAGGCGCACTCAAAGAATCACAAGGTACAACCAAATATGAAGCAAAATAAGATGACAAATATAAGTATGTAGACCCTGGATCAAATAGAACTGAAGCATCTCTACTACAAACTAGAACAGTACCTGTAATAACTGCATCGGAGGACTCAGCCTTAGGCCTAGATGGGAAAGCATAACATCGGGGCTGGGCCCCACACTCTAAACTACATCCCTGGGATGGCCTCCTACTGGCTGACCTCTACCTCTAGCGGCCTGACCTCCACCTCTAACACCTCGACCCCTACCTCTAGCTGGTTGAGCGGGTGGTGGAACACTCAGTGCTGGAATCATGGCACGAGAACCCTGATGATGAGAACTGCTCGAGGCTCGAGGGCAAAATCTAGCAATATGCCTCGTATCGCCACAAGTATAACAAGACTTCGGCTATTGAGACTGCTGACCCTGAAACTGACCCTGACGGCCTGAATAACTACCCTGAAAACTCTGGAGCGGAGGTGCATTGATAGGAGCTGGTGGTGCATTGTAGAGCAACTGATCAGAATACTGCATATGAGAACCACGCCCACCTGGAGCACCGTGAGAAGCCTGGAGTGCTGAATGAAACGGCTTGGGAGGATGGCTTATACCAAAAGAATCCCTGCCTCCAGACGAGGCACCACTGAATCTGCTAGAATGACGAGGCCTCTTATCAGACCCCTGACCGCTCCCCTGAGCTAGAGCTATCTCAACCCGCTTGGCCATATTGGCCGAATCCTAAAAATAAATCTCGCTTCGTGTCTCATTAGCCATCTGTAATCTAATAGGCTGAGTGATTCCCTCAATAAACCTCCTCACCCTCTCTCTCTCGGTGGGGAGTATCAGAAGAGAATGACGATCCAAATCAATAAACCTCATCGCGTACTAGGTGATAGTCATAGAACCCTACTGAAGCTGCTCGAACTGCCGCGGTACTCCTCTCTCTGAGTGACGGGAAGGAAATTCTCGAGAAATAACTACGAGAACTGGTCCCAAATGAGAGCTGGTAACCCATCTGGTCTGGCCAAACAATAATCTCTCCACCATTTGTTGGCGGAACCTGATAGATGAAAAGCAGCAAAGTCGACCTCATTGGTCTCCACTATCCCCATCAAACTCTACTTGAGGCTCCACCGCCGGTGTTGCTACTCTGGGCTGAGCTCTGCCCCTGCCTCAGACACTAGTACGGTCTCGGCCTCGGCCTCGGCCTCGGCCTCTGCCCCTCGTAGGAGTTGCCGCTGGGGGCTCGGGCTGTTGATCAGCTGATGAAGCGGTACGTGTTCTCACCATCTGTGAAAGAACATAGTAGAAGCTCAATTAGCATTGAGAAATCAATCGCACGATAGAGATGAATAGAAGTGAAACTGTTCCTAACTCTGTAGCCTCTTGGGGTTAAGCACAGATGTCTCCTTACCGATCCCTCAAACTCTACTAAGCTTGTCTGTGAATTGTGAGACCTAAGCAACCTAGAGCTCTTATACCAACTTGTCACGACCCGAATGTCCCACCGTCAGGATCATGATAGCGCCTAACATTGAAACCGCTAGGCAAGCCAACGTTACTAGTCATTTTACCTTTTTACTTTATCCTTTAACAATTTACCAGTTATCGTAAGAAAATTAGTAGAATAAATGCGAAAAATAGAATTTAACAGATTATCTTATTACAAATATGAATCCGAAGTAAAACTCCACCCAAAACTGGTGTCATAATTTCACGAACTGTCTATGAATACTACAAATAGTGGTCTAAATAAGGAAATACAAATTTGTCTCAGAAATAGATAAAACAGAAAAAAAGCAGAATAGAAGGGGACGCCGAGGCCTGCGGACGCCGGCAGGACTATCTCGGATCTCCACTGGACTAAAGGTAGCAACCTCGAACTACGGTCTGTATGGTCAAGTATCGAGATCTGCACAAAAGTGCAGAGTGTAGCATCAGTACAACCAATCCCATGTATTGGTAAGTGTCGAGTCTAACCTCGGCGAAGTAGTGACGAGGCTAGGACACGACCAACATCATAAACCTGTGAAGTTAAGCAATATCTAACAGAATAACAATAATAGAAGCTAACAAAATTTATGGGAAGGGGTAACATGCTATGGGGGATACCAGAATAAGGAAACATAGAAATAACGGAAACAAAACAATTAAGGCACTTGAACCGATAACATCAAATAATCACAGTAAAAGAAAAACAAATGCACGGCATCACCCTTCATACTTTTACTCTCAATCCTCACCATTTAATAAATAATGAAAATGTGCACGGCATCACCCTACGTGTTTTTTCTCTCTTCCTCACCATATGTATCAATATAAATGTAAATGTGCATGACATCATCCTTCGTGCTTTATCACTCTTTCCTAACCATATGCATAAGTATGAATGTGCACGGCATCACCCTTCGTGCTTTATCACTCTTTTCTCACCCAAATAGTAGAAACAATAACATCCCGGCAAGGGAATCAACAATAGAAACATATACATCCCGGCAAGGGAATCGGCTATAACCAATCTCATTCCAACAGTTAACTCACAAAATGAATCTCAACTTGAGCTAATACTCAACAATGGTCAAATACCCAGAAATATCATAAGTGTTGTACAACATGAATAATCATCAATTTAAGCATGGATAGTACACAATAAGAATCACAACAGTCACAGTATAAGACTCACGGACATGCTCGACACCAACGTATAGATACTCGTTACCACACCTATACGTTGTACACAACACTAACACGTAGAAATTAAGACACAATACCTATTCCCTCAAGTTAAGGTTAGGTCAAACACTTACCTCGATTCCACGGCCACAAATCAAGCCTCAAATACTGCTTTCCCTCAATAAATGCTAAAGAACTCCAACCCAATGCTTAATTATAGTTTTTCCAACATTTTTCCCCAAAAAAAAAATCGACCCCATGCCCGCTTGGTCAAAACCCAAAGTTCAGACTAAAACCCAATTACCCATTCACCCTAAACCCGAATATGCAATTGGTTTTGGAATCCGACCTCAATTTGAGGTCTAAATCCCCAAATCTCACCCAAAAACACCCAATTTCTCATGAAAATCCCTAGATTTTGTGATGAAATCTTGTAAAAAGATGAAGTAGATTGAAAGAAACGAGTTAGAAATTGTTTACCTATGATTTGGGGAAGAACTTTTCTTTGGAAAATCGCCTATGGGAGCTTAGGGTTTGAAAATTTGAAAGAATGAGTTGAAATCCCGTCTAAGTTATAATTTACACACTCGCAGATATTGCATTTGCGATAACAGGTTCGCAAATGCGAACTAGCAAATGCTACCAAAGCATCGCAAATGCGAAGCTTGGCCTGAGCTGCTGACTTTGCAAATGCGAACTATTATTCGTAAATGCGGTGCCTGCTGGAGTCGCAATTTCGACATTAAACTTGGCAAATGGGAAGGTCCCCCTCCCTGCCCTCTGATCGCAATTGTTATGCTCGCATTTGCGAACCAGACTTCGCAATTGTGAAGTCTGCAGACCTGCAACACAACAGCTAATTCTTTAAATCTCAAAATACTTTGTGCCCTATCCAAAACTCACTCGAGCCCTCGGGGCTCCAAACCAAACATGCACACAAGTCTAAAAACATCATATGGACTTGATCGTGCGATCAAATTGCCAAAATAATATCTTAAACAACGAATTTAGCACCAAAATCAATGAAAATCTCAAGAACTCTTAAAGTTACCATTTTCATAACCGAGGGTCCGAATCACGTCATATGAATTCTGTTTCTTACCAAATTTTACATACATAACATATACACCATATTAAACCTATATCGGGGCTCCGGAACTAAAATACGGGCCTGATACCATCTAATTCAAACATTATTCAATTTCTAAAATCCTTATATTTTCAGTTAAATAATTTTCTTCAAAAAATTATTTCTCGGGCTAGGGACCTCGGAATTCAATTCTGGGTATACGCCCAAGTCTCATATTTTTCTACGGACCCTCTGTGACCATCAAATCATGGGTTCGGATTCGGGTCCGTTTACCTAAAATGTTGACCGAAGTCAACTTAAAATCAATTTTAAAGGCAAAATTAGTATTTTTCTCAAATTTTCACATAAAAACTTTCCGAATATACGATCATAATGCGCATGCAAATCGAAGTGAGATAAAAGGAGGTTTTTAAGGTCTCAGAACACATATTGGACTGTTAAAACAAGAGATGACCTTTTGGGTCATCACATCTACGAACACAGAAGACCGAGTAAGGAATTCTGTTAAGCCGGGAGAAGGTGTTAGGCACTCCCGAGTTTCGTGGTTTTAGCCAGGTCGCTCATCTATTAATAATTGGCCTAATAATCTGATTTATTACATGTTTGAAACCTATTGTGCATTTTTTTGCTTTCTTAACCGCTTTTAGTATTTATGGAATTATTTCTGGAATAAGTCACGATGTCGTACACTTGCTATTTTGGTACACGTTGCAAATTGCGCCACATGAAATGCACCCGCAATTTACGACATATTTATTTTAATTATTATTCGAAATTATGGTCGGGTCACATGAAATGCACACTCGAATTTAGATTTATGTATCGTGACTCTGCCATGGGAACCGTACTCATAGCCACGATGATTTATTTAATTAACACACCTAAAGCAAACTACGATATTCAAAAAATATCCTTACTTTGATAAAATTATGAACATATGACTATATCTTCCACAGTTAGAATAAAAAAAAAAAAGCAAAATTACCTTTGAGGACTCATAAAAGATACAGCGAAAACTCATACATTCACAATTAAAAAATATTTTCATCTAGAAAGCACCAAATAAACCTAATAGCAATCTCATGAAACGGAAAAAATCAAGCAAATTTCTAGGTCCAAGTCCACCAACTAAGCACCTTATTCTCAAATTTCAATTAACATAAAGCTCTTACTTAATGTCAATCATAAAACTGAAAACTTGCAGAATCAGCAAACTTCATCAAATTAATAAGGGAAGTCAGATTAAATTGACTGGAAACAAACTTAGAGCAGAAAAAATTAGAACCCAAAATATCAATATAAAAAGGAAAGGAACTTACTCATTTTTGCGAAATGTTACAAACCCATCAAAAGATAACTTCAATCCTTAATGTTAAGCAAAACAGCAGCAACTATTTAACAAATTCAGTAGCCAAGTGTTGTTGGTCAAGACCTTTTCCTTTGTATATTTACATTTTTATGAGACAAATGTTGCGGACTTCTCTTTTTCGGAGTTGCGGCCATGAGGTCTTTTGATTTTTTTATGAAAGTTGTTTGGATTTTTTGTGTATGGTTTTAGGGAAGATGATCTTTTAGGAGGGATGGATGCTCGTTTTTTTTTTGTTGTTGTTGAATAAGAAGATCTGAGGGTTGCCGTTTCTTTTAGCCTTTTCTATGGGAGGGGATCTAGAATTAGGTCTAGGTTTTGGGAAAGTCCCCCTTTTAAAGAGAGGGAATTAGGGTGTATTTTAAAGATGATGGGATCTTGGATTTTGGGTAGTGGGCTAGGCGAATTGGGTTAAGTTTTGGGCCAATTTGGGCCATGACTTGGACATTTAGACAAAGCAAGACTTTAGTCGAAATAGTCCAAATTAAAACTTCTTTCCTTTTTTTGTAATTTTTATTTTTTCTTTTATTGATTAATAGATGAAAATAAAAATATTAATTCTAGACTTGAATAGCAGGATAAAATATTATTCACTCAAAATTTACTTAACAAACTAATATATTTTTTGGAAAACCTTTTCTTTTTTTGTAAATGAATATAAAGCTTATATTTAAAATGTGGTTCTTTTTTTATTGTTTTTAATTTTCTTAAATAAAATATATATAAAAGGAGAAATAAGAGTTAAAATATGTAGATTAAACTTAAAATATATTTACCTACTAAAAGTGATGAAAATTTAAATATGGTCAAAAAATAGGTGCTCACAATGACCCTTGATAGGAGAACGTGAAGAGAGAATTAGGGTAGAAGGTTAGATTGTCGAATATTTTCCTTGTGCATACCAGTAGTATAAGTATTAGTCCTGTGTTTTCTTAGTCGTAGATTTCTATTACTAGTTGTTGTTCTTTCGCTTCGATGTTCTTCTCATTTGATAGATGGAGTTAATACTTGTTGTTGTTGCTTCTTTTTTTATTTTTCTTTGAGTTGAGGGTCTACTGGAAATGACCTTTCTACCTTGTCAACGTAGGGGTAAGATCTGCGTACATACTATCCTCCCCACTTGTGAGATTAACTGAATTCGTTGTTATTTGTTGCATTACTAATTCATACATAATTAGTTTCTTCATTATATTCTATGCATGCATTATTAGTTGCTGCATGACTTGCCTTTGAATCAAATGACCCTTAATTATTCGATGCAATATTTGTAACTTTAAACTAGAGGTGTTAATCGGGCCGGGCTGACCCGCTAACAACCCGGGTCAACCCGAGTCAGCCCGGTCCAGCCCGTTACTGTTCATATGTGTGCGGGTTGGGACAGGATGGATGGGGGGCGAGCTAGTAACGTTAAGTTTTTGCCAAACGGGTACCCGAACCCGCCACAACCCGTTAAGCCCTTAACGGGTTCTTAACGGGCCTCAGCCCGTGGCAGCCCGCTAAACCGACTTATTTTTTTTATTTTATTTTTAAATTAAATCTGACCGTTGCCAACGGTCAAATTTAAAAAATGACCGTTGGCCAACGGCCAAATCTGTCAAAAACAGCCAAAATTTGGTATTTTATTTATATTTTAGCCCCCCCCCCTTTATAATTTGTAAATTGTAATTGAATCCTTTTAAAAAACTATAAATACTCCCTTTCTTTTTCATTATTCCTCACAATTATCTCTCAATTATCTCTTGATAATATTCTCAATTGCTCATTATTTCAAGCTTTCAAGTTTTTACTTACTAGTTTCATACTTTCATTACAAAAGTATTATTATCATAAATTTTTAATTCAATTATTCAAATGAAGTGTGACATTAATTATCAAGTTATCAAATATCAATTGAATATTTGAAGTTTGAGTTTCTACTTTCTCGTTTCTATATCAAATTTAGTGCGGCATTCGGAATCCCGGTACACTCGTTCCATCCCTTTCTCTTTATTATTTAGAATTATTATTTGAATTTTTTGTTTTAAATTAGATAATGGATTTACTTAGAGCGGCCAAAAAAGCTTGCACTAGTAAAGGTGGTAGTAAGAAAAATTCCAAAAGAGTAAGAGGTGGTTCTTCTAGTAGTGCAACACATGTTTCTGAAAGTTCACCCGAAAACGTAAATGTAGATTATGAGCTACTTCAAGAAAATTTTGGTATTGATGATGATTTAGATGATATTTTAGATGATATTCAATCACCCGATAATCTTGAAATACCACCAC